TTACCGACCCCCCTCTCTTCCTCCTTTCACTGTTTACTGTAGAAGCAATAAGGTCTCAAAGGTGGGGAGGTGATGCCCAAGGTAGCTGGAGGAAGCTTCGTGCCAAACTCAACAGCATTTGTGCCATTTTGTGATGGGCCTCGCAAACGACGTTGAAGCGTCAGATTCCCTGCCAAGTGAGGTGGTAAGAGTCCCTGGGAAAAGCTGTACTTCACAAAGCCTCTTGTGCCAGTACTGGTAGAGTTAGCAGTTATGGTCCTGCAATAACCTTAAAAATCAGCACGACGAAAGGGATGTTTGTTGGTTTGAGGGTACGTGCCAAATTCAGAAACCTTCCCAATCAGCTGTACTGGAGTTAAGGGAAAAGTAAATCAAAAACAAAGCAAAAAATCCTCCCCACAGTTTAAATGGGTTTGAGGTGCTAAATGGTAAACATCTAGCTCTCTCTAGCCAGCAGAAATGCTTACCACTGAGATGGCATGTTTGATTAAACTCTTATTTAAGCAGGAGTTTAAATTCTAAATGAGCTCTGACCTGTGATCCTGCAGTATTTAATTGGTCTTCTAGCATTTTTTCTTGTTGTTGTTGTTGTTTTTGTTTAAACTTAATGATTTTCTCAACTTCAACAAAGTCTCTTCATTTACTATAACCCCCCCTTTTTTTCCATAGTTACTCTTTCACTCCAGAACTGGTCACATTCTTGAAAACAAAATTTGCAGGTTGCTTTCAGCAGCTGCTTTTGCAATATTTTAAGTCCCATGGTACCTTATTGTCTTTTTTTTAGTGTAGGAGATAAGGAGGCAAGCAGTCGATGATTTTCAGCCCCTTTCCACTCCTTGTATTTGCATTTTTTCAGGGTAGGGGAAGAAAGCAATTTCACCTTTGACAATTTCCCAAGACACTCACTATATTTGCTACTTTCCTTGTAAAAGCAAAAGCTCTAGGATCCTCTGTGAGGCAGTTCCAGCTCTGCCACAGAGTTACCAGCTGGGCCTCTTAGGAAGGCTTCTTCATTTCAGCCCTAGTTCATCTCTGTGCCGTTGTTTATTCTGCTTTCCTTTTTTGAACTAACATGACTCAAAAATACTGAAACAGAAGTTTAGAGAGAGAAATTAATTTGTCATTCAGTCATTCCTGCTGTCTCTTCTCCTGGAAGCCCAGTGGCTTCAAAATATAAACGGATTGGTGTTTTCTGAACAGAGGGGACCCTGTGGGATGCTGTAGGGAAGGTTTAAAACAGTATTTTGTGCTGCAGTATTTGCTGGCAGTTAGGGGACACACCTCATAGTGCTTGCTTTTCCTGAAGAGTGGGATGTTTTTTAAACTTTCTCATTCACAAGTTATCAAGCGAAGCACCTGGACAACTGTTGCTCTAAATGCCACGAGAATTGAGGATAACTGGCTGAGGATAACTTTTCTAATGAGGACAGGACCTTGTTTTGGCTGGCTGGATATTTTCCCCCACTTTATTTTAATACTTTAAATACAACTAAAAAGGGGATGCTCCATCTCTCTCTCTCTCTCTCTCTCTCTCTCTTTTTAATTTTAAGCCTTAATTGTCAGTCAGTCTAGGTGCCCTGGATGTTTCCTGGGGAGGGGGAGAAGAGGGCAGGGCAAGGTAAAGGCCGACATTCCTGCTGCAATGTTCTGTTCATTTCCTTCAAGAGCTTGAATTCAGGTCAGAGCCACACAGAGTTGTGGCTTCAACTCAAGTGTCATATAAAAAGATACAGAAATTATAATATGATCTCAGCATTCAGAAATTTGCAGTCTTAATGTACAGTGATGAGAAACTGTTATTTTATGATCTTTTCATTAAAAGCTTGATTGAAAAATTACCTCTTTTGCTCTAGAGTTCACCTTGTTCCTCCAGCTGACTGTGTCCATGTTTTCTCCTCCCTCATTTGTTCTTGCCCAGGCATTTGAACCAGCTGCTTCACAAAGAAGAACCACTGCCCCACACAAACGCAGCCGAAACAGCCACACACAGCATTTTTATGCACTTACTGCTCGTAAGCCAGAATGTGGTGCTTGTTAGAATACAAGAAATGATAAATAACACGGGCCAGGCTGGCATACAGGAAACGTGCAGGCGAAGGACAGTGGTGGTACCCTAATTTTACCTTTCTTGTCGTGACCCTGAGCAACCTGAGGCTGTTTCTGAACAGTCACTCGTGCTTTGCTCTGCTAATGTCCTAATGACAGTTTGAAAGCAGCCTGTGTCAGAGACAGAAGGAGGCAGATGCACCTCCTGATCTGCAGATCCCTGCAGTCTGTTTGGGCTGCACGTCTAACTCTGTAGGCCCATCTCCGAGGAGCAGAGAAGCATCTGAAGCAGAAAAGTTTCCTAAAAGAAATTAAGGTTCTCTATCCACATGTGGTGCACATAAACCAGGGAAATGCTTCCAGGGAAGATGACTGTAAGTAATGACAAAAGCACTGGCTGCAGATTTCGCCCTCTCAAATGCTAAAAACCAGATATTTTTCCTTGGACAGGTGAAGTGTGAACCTAGTGAAATTAATTAACATTTCTTTGGTCCATGTTTTAACAGCATTTTCTAGTTCCCAGGCCACCTTTCTGGATCTAAACATGCTTTAATATATATTTAATGAAGACAAATTAAGTATCTGCACCATAATGCAAGAGCCAAGCCTGATATTCTGCACCATTTCCCTTTGTCACACTGCACATCACAGCAGTTGTGCTGTTTCTCCCAGAGCCCATTGGAACGTCTTAATATTCAGCAGAGTAATCCTGGTGTTGAATTCCTGTATTTTGTTCTTCCTCTTCTTTTTAAGCGCAGTGCTGACTATATTTTAAAGTGACTGACTGAAGGAGCTTCAAGTTTAGTCAGTTTTCTGACAGGTTGCAAAGTCAGCAGCACTGGTAAGAATATCATTTTTATTTGTCCTTGGAGATGTGTTTTACCCGGCAAGGTTAAATAGAAGGACAAAAAGGAACAGAAAAACAGATGAAGAGCTACAGAAAACCAGCGGCTATTTTTCAACAGCTCAGATGTGGTAACGAGCCTGTACTCTTCTCCCAGCTACCGGTGACTTTTTTTCCTTTTTTTTTTTTATTAATATTTTTCTTTTTCCTTTTTTCTTCCCTTTTTTTTCCCCCCTTAATTTCTTCTGGAAGTTTTTGCTTCCTGGCACCCACTTCTTTGTGGCATAAGTGGTTTCCAGCATAGTTAATAGATTGCATGTTCTATTTTACTTTCTTTGCCGCGGTCAGCTCCTTTTCATCTCATAAGATCCTGCGACAACTATACAAAACTCTTCATATAATAACTCACGACTGAAATGCAGCTGCTTCTGTGGTGGAACACTGAAATATGTACAAGTGAAGTGCCCAGCGCAGGATGTAAAGGATACCAGATATGTCTGGAATGCCTGGGAATTTGTACTTTTCATCCCTCTGCTTTCATTGCTTCCATTTATTGGTTGGTAGGACTTTTCTCCCAAACCCACACTTGCTTTCTCTCCACTGCCTTTCTGCTTCTTGAGGAGTACACAGACGTTGGGTAAAACCTTCGAACGATAGCTTTGGTTTTGCTCTTTTGCAGGGAATACAATTTCATCAAAATTGGAACTCTTCCTTGGGAACAAAACTTCCAATTTTTTGTTAAATGAAATTTTGTTTCAGCCACTGCTGAAATCCAATTTTGACCCTGCTGAGTAGATACAGATGCAGAATGTTTGTTTCATAAGAATTCTGATGACAGATATCATACTAAGAAGTTAAAAGGGAAGGACAGTTGTTTTTTTTTAATAAAGAATAACTTCAGGTCAGTAGAAGCCAAAAGACTAACACCTCATTTTGCAAATTGTTTCTAAAAAACGCCTTCATCCTGTTTCGTATTGAAAATAAAATCTGAAACACTGTTTTTTTTTTATCTGCAAGCAACGCCAAATTTTCAACAGCTCTTAGAATGCTGAAGCTATTACCACCTATTAATTCTGTGTATCTGCCTGGGTTTTGTTTGTTTGGATGTACTACAAACTTGCCCAGGTTTAAACAAATTGATTTTGCGTGCACTTGTGCAAAGCCTGCTATGTACCAAGTGTAGTGTGACCTGGCTTAAGTCTGCAATAGCTAAAATTATGCATTTGCCTTAGCAAAACCCATTGTTCTTTGTCTACAAAGAATTTGTTATAGGAACAAAACCCTAAGCATGTCATTTTTCTAATTTTCTTCTCTTCTGAGAGAGGAATTCTTCTCAAAATCTATTACATATACCCTCTCAGACCATGAAATGTGAGAAGTATCTAAGAAAAGGCTTTCTTCTGCTGGGGTAAGAGTCATGGGCTGGGCCTCTTGCACAGTGGGAGCTGCACCCCTTAAGCTGCACCTTGAGAATCCAACTGAGAAAGGGCTCCCACTAGTACCAGCAGAGCTGGAAGGTCCCTCACTCCTTTCATCTGGTGGATATATACTCTTCAGCTCCCCATGCTGGACCACAGGATACTTTCCATCAGGATGAAAACTGCCTAGAACTCCCATAGTCCAATGGTTGCATCCATCTGGAAGCCTAGCCCCTAGCCTGCAAATGTAATGTAGTTTTCATCCTTCTCTGCACAATGGTTTGTGTCCCGTCACAGCCTGCTTCTGGTCACAACGCTGTTTCTTGGTGTTGGTTTCCATAAGATTGTGTTCTTCCAGTAATTGAAGCCAACACCCATCCCACCCCACACCTTGAGGTACCTGTATGCCAAAACTTGGCACAGAGAGCCGGAAATGCTCCCAAGTTTGCTATTTGGGACAAAACCACTTCCCTCTGCACTCCTCTGGGCGCTGCTCTTGCCTCAGTTCTAGTTTCCTGCCTCCTCCAGGTCATCACAACACATCTTCATTCTTTCCCTTCATGGGCTCTGTAGCAGGTTTTTTTTTTTTTTTTTTTTTTTTCCCCCTCTGCAGCTGTGCTGTGTCTTATTGATGAACACGATTGAAAACTGCTGCAGAGCAAGGTCTGAATCCATATGTTTCAGCTTGGTCGGTTGAGCCAGTTCTAAGAAAGCACGATCTCCCTGCAATTACAGCGCGTCCATGGCTCCGATACTATATAGCAAAAAACATTCATCATACTGTCTTCTGTTCCAGGTGCTAAGAAGAGAGGCCAATGTAGCTGGTATGTATCAACCGAGGAGGTGATTGATGGTCCTGCCCACATCCTTTGCTTTCTGCTTCTCACCACTTTGTCCCTTCCCTTAGTTTCTTGCTCGGTTACAGAGAGGAGCACTAGGAGAAGAGGGATGTTGCAGGGCTCTCTCAGCAGGAGACTGTAGTGATTTTTTTGTGGATAATTTGGCTCTGAAGCAAAGGCCTAACTCTCTATCTCTGTTCTTGTCCATCCCCTCCTTCTTGAATTCAATAATTAGATTTTAAAACGAAAAAAATGGTCCCACACCCTTCTTCCCTGTCTTCAAAATCAGCTGCCACATTAAAGCTACAGGCTCCTTTACTTCTAGTTAGAAAATTTGAATTTAACACAAATCAAGAACTTGTCCAGAAGCCTGACCTGAAGCAACCAGCAGTTAAGGCTAGGGAAAACATGGCAAGGCCCTCCCTTGATTTCAGGGGATGGTGATGGTTGTCAGCTCTGCGTTTTTGTTTTTTTTTGCTCAGCCTCCCTGCAGAACATGTGTGTGTTGTTTTGTTGCTTGGCGTGCGCCCACTCACCAGGATGGGCACGGAGGATTCAGCTGCAGGAACCTGACCAGAGCACAGAACCACAGCCCTTGCTGTGGCCACCTAGTGAGCACTTTATGAGCTCCAGGAATCAAGCTCCACACCAGTCAGGTCGCTTTTCTGTAGCCTTACAGCTCTGGCTGCCTTTACTGTAACTGGTTTGGCCACTCAAATGCCATCTGGGCTAGCTGGACAGATGTGACTGCAGCGCAGTGGAGAGGGCAACATCACCACGTGTCACTTGTCTCCTCTCACTCAAGTCTAAAACATGCAGAACTAAGAGCTGAGTTTCTAGCCCTCTTGTCACCAGAGGCTCTCACTACCCTACTGCCTGGCACCAGCCTCCTGCCAGCTCCAGCTGGTCCCCTTGCCACAATAGCAGCCAAAGGCCAGCCAGGGAAGATTGCACAACCAGGCCTTGATCTGTATTTTCCACTGCTCAGCCAGCAAACCCCTCCTTTTTTCCAGCCCAGCTGTTTTCCATCTCTGCTCAGGAAGCATGCCCTGTTTTTGATTCCTGGGTCTTGCTTTATGAAGCAATCATGGGCAGGCTGTCTGGGTGGAACGGGTCACAAAGTGGCTGCGGGATAACTCTGGATTCTGAAGCCAACACAGAACAAAGGGGAGCTTTGCCAAGGCTCAGGTGAGCCTGGGGTCAGCACACAGACAGGCTACTGACGCAAGCATGAAGGCAGGGTTTTCTTTCTCTGGGCCACAGGGTTTGAACTCCCCCCTCCCTTTTCCTCTCCTGCCTGCCTGCCACAGCCTTTTCCCTGCTAGATCCACGTTTCGGTAACAACAGCGGGTGCATGGGTGATGGTGTCACTTTTTTCTGCATCTTACTCACGCAGAACTAGACCGAGGTAGCTGTGTCTTCTTAGGCCGCCAGCCTCGTGTCACTCGGTTAACAAGCTGCCAGCCTGTCCCCCTCCAGGCATCCTGGTTGACTGTATCACAACACACAGCTGCAGCTTGTAGCCCTGCTGTTACAGACACCTAGCCCACGGCGCAAGCAGGGGACGATGGGGTGGCAGGCCATGGGTGGAGGCCTGGGATGAAGCACAGACCCGTTTGTGCTCCATTCGGGAACACCAGCAACCAAAACCACCCTGGCATTGCTCATCTTGGCACCCTCCCCAAAACACTAGAAATTAGCCAGCTCCCTGCTCATATCAAGCTGGAAATTAACTGGCTTCCTTAAGGGTTAAGGCATTAGTGTTAACACCATCTACATTAACTAAAAATAATGTGTGCAAAAAGGTCCGAGTTACAGCTGTTACAGGAGTCACACCTTCACTTTGCTGAGCCCTTCACGTGTGAAGTGTGGTCCTTTGCTGTAAAGCCCTGTGAAGTGTCAGTTCTCACATGTCTTTAGGCTGGAATTGGTTGAAGGGGCAGTTACAAAGAACAGCCTTGGAGCACACAAGAATCTGCTCTACAACAGGCTTTGAGATCACCAAGGGCAGAACAACCTTTTTCTTCCCAGAAAGAGCTAACAGCAACTTCTAAGGCAAAGCAGCTGAGCACTGCAACCAAACTGCCTGGCTCTGCATCTAGGTAGAGGCAACAGACAGAAAAAGAGAAGGAGAGCAGTGTTCCACCTCCTTTTCTTTAACAGATTTACGCTCGATCAGTTCCTGGCCACTCTAACTGGTTTAAGTGTCCACACAAGTGACTTACTGCCCTACGAGGAAGGATTCAAAAATCAGCTAATTGAATCAGGGCTGTCATCACACAAGCCACAGCCTGCAGCAGCAGTCGACATTTGGGCAGCAACTAGGGAATCTGCTGCTACAGCTCCTGCCTTGCTTTTAGTGGGAGTCTTTGTTTCAGGGCTGGGGGCATGGGTGGGAACTGGAAGGAGGCAAGGAAAGCAAGCAGGCTGGGATGTCTCTAGCAGCGCTCTGCAGTCCTGCCCAACAGACGGATGCAGCCTGCTCTTCCAGTCTCTGCTTCTGAGCAGAGCGTGCCACTCACGCCAGGTTGTGCAATAGCAGTTTAGGATGTGTACAAATACTGGCAGCGGGAGAGATGTCAATTCTTGGTGTAAACTCTGACCTAGCCTGGCTTCGAGCCACAGATCGCCGTGGATAGGTCTATATGTGCCAGAGCTTGTCACACGCTCCCTGTGCACTCTACCCTTCCTGACAAGGTCCGTCAGGCTCCTCCTGTGCTTTGCTTTATGTGTGTACACAGAACGCTGTTTATGAGCACTCTTGTCCTCTTCATTTCCTTTGAAGGCAGCAGAAGTGAGGGGGATCTCCATTATTTTAGAGAGCATTTAGGTTAATCTCCTGAACTCCTAACAAGATGGATATTTTCCAAACCTCTTGAACACTGTGAACACTTTCTACTGAGGCATATTAATTTCCCTTGATTGAGTTCGAGTGCCTACCTACTCTCATTACACTTTTGCCCTGCATGGTACTGTTCTTCAAACTACTGCAGTGCAGAGGGCCTCTGATCAAGAAGTCCTCATCAGTTCCTGACCCACAGCACAACTGCAGTGTCAGTTAAAAAAACAGTTTTCAGAAGGATCACCCTTCTGTCAGCATCAGCCCAACAGTGCCTGATGCGTGGTCTATGGGGCACATCTTCCCAGCAACATGGCCCTTTCACACCCTAGGAACCAGTGAGACAACATTCTTGAGCAACAAAGGGAAGCCTGACACAGTGGCACATAAAATGAACTTGTTAAACTTCTCCCCTGCCATCTTCTTTCTGCTGGGCTCTGATTTCGCCTATCTCCAATGGCAGTACCTTGCTTTTACCTTCACCCATATTTTCTTAACTCAGTGTTACAGTTTCACTTTGTTTTGTGTGAAGCACAGTTAAAAAAAGATTACAGAAAAGGAAGACCCGCTTTGTTTTGATTCCAAAGGTCAATTTTTTTCATTTCTTTTTTTTTTCTTTCTCTTTCTTTTGAATTTTTTTTAGTCTAAACAAGAGATGACATACCTTTTGAAAAGCAGCTTTCAGGTGGTTGCTTGTGCCCTGAGAACGTATGCACCTGGAAATTCCAGTGCTTGAGAGAAGCTGAAGATCAGTCCACAAATGTTCTTGCTGCACTTGGGGAGGTAGAAGATGGACTGGATTCCATGCCTCAGTCTTCCCTAGAAATGACAACAGAGAGCATCAACACTGGAATATAAGAGCAGACTAAAAGACCAGGATTCTTTTTCTTTAATAACATATCTGAAAGAGCCTTCCACCACCTCTCAGTAGAGTTGACTCTTCTGAGACATTCAGGAAGACAATGCTTTGACAACCTCTCAAATTATGCAGTATGCTAGCGTACCTAAGAGATCTTTTAATACTGCAGTGATGTTACCTGGCCAGAAGCACAAGACAAAGTTTTTCCAAGTCTTCGTAGCAAATAGACCTAGTCCTAAACGCATCGTTATTGGCTTCTTCCACCTGTCTCATTAAGCTTGGAAAAAGGACAGAATTAAAGTGCATTTTTTTAATATGAAGCAAAGCCTGACCCTGTCTGCTGCTGGAGAGCACTAAGTTCTTCAGACAGCACAGGAGTGCTTGAAGGAAGGATCTGCAAACACATACGAAAAGATTTGCAAGCAATCTCTGAAGTCTGTTACAAAAGCCAGAAAAGTTTAAACTGTGCTGCCCTACAAAGGAGGCCTGTTTTGGGCAAAACTCGGTAAAATCCCATCTGAACCAGGACTGTGTCACTTATGCTGATGGAGTTGAACATGTATGAACCATGGAGTGAGGGAGAAAAATTCAGCCTTTTACATCTTACATGATCATTACCTTGGTGCCTGCTCTAGCCAAAGCACTCCCCAGGGCAGCTGAGGGGCTGGCTGGTTTTGAAGTGTGCAGAGCAGTAAGGAGAGTTAGCAAAGCTACGTCAGGTTGCTCTATGCCTTATCCAGTCACATTCAGAAAATCTCCAAGGATGGAGCTTTCACAGCCTTGCTGGGTGACCTGTTACAGTACTCAATGCACTCTAACTGCAAAAGCTTTTTCCTTATATCCAATTTAATAGGTAATTCGGTGGGCTGAGGGGGTTGTCTAAAATACCAGCCTTACGCTTTCCTCCCTAACTTGACACGTTGGGGCTCCAGACCATAGGGAAAGTCCCACGGTGCCACCAACACAGAGGGAGCCTGCAGTGTAATTCTGTGTGGGTGCACAGGCTGCAGAGGCCCAAGGGTCTGGAGGTGAGGACAGACACAAGAACTGCTAACTGGCTGGGCCTTGTCTTTGTTCCCAAGGCCTGTACAAGCCATGCTGCCAACCATGCGTGGTGTGCACATTAGATAATAGTTGGAAATGTTTTTCCTCCAGAGGCATGTTCTGTGCTCATGGTCTCTGCTGCTATGCAGAGAGCCAGCTCTCCTTCTTCTTCCTGAACTTTGTGAGCCCGGGACTGAGCAGAAGTCAGCCCACGTAAAGGCTTCAATGGGCTTCAGATGTGAGGCTGCTTCTGCAGGGCACAATCCTGAGCAACAAGCGTGATAGAGCCCACAGAAGGAGAGACATGAGAAGCTCTGTAATACTGAAAGCAACATATTATCCTCTTCTGATCTGGGACAGCTGAACCTCAGTGGCTTTATTTCCTTCTACACTTTAAGTTACAGGGAAATCCACATTCAGAAAGTAGCAGTTGGAAGAATTCAGCTAGTGCCACCATATCTGCATCTACTATGCTTTTATGGGTACGCAGGGCCTTACTTCCTTCTGATAAATGGGTGAAGGGAAAGGCCAGGCATTGGACGTGTATTCAGATGCTGCAATTTATTCTCCTGGCTTTAAAAGGCTCAGTTATAGTAGGGCTGAGAGCCAAATACAACTCTGTCTTGAGCTATTCCTTCTCCTCCCCCCCGAAGAATGATCTTTAAGGTCTATACCCTCACCTCCACCCAAAATGACTGCCCTGATTTATTTTATGCTTTTTGTTGTTGTTGTTGTTTCCTTTTAAATAACTTCTAAGCTTAGCCTTTGTTTGCCAAGCTTTCAGCCTGGAGCAAGATTTTACAGTTGAATTATAACCTTCTCTCCTTCCCCTTGAAAAGAGGTGTTTTTCTGGATATGCTGCTGTCCCACCCATACTCACCTAGCTGCGGGGAGGCAGGGGAGATGACAAGCTTTTTACAGATCGGCAGCTCAGAGTTCAGTGTCGCAGGCATGGGCACACATCTGGTTAAACCATTTCCCTTATATCTTGGCTCAAAATCCTTGGCTGAGACATCTCATGGCAGCAGCCGTGTCCAGGGAGCTGAGAGGGAGGGAATAAAGGAGACAAAGTGGTTAGGTTTCTCAGAAAGGGAATGGCTGTGGGCTGGAATATAACGAAATGCCAGGACTGCAGAGTCTGCTCTCTCAGCATGTTACAGGGTTTTTGACTCACGGCAGCATGATGCCAACCCACACTTGAAAAGCCCCCTCTGAAGCGCGGGGAGCAAAAGACAGAAGGCTGCTGAGGCCAGCGCCTTCCACAGAAGGAAGGAATGGGTGATGGTCTGAAAAGGTACTATAAGCTGGAGCCTCAGACAGTTTTGGATACTTCTCAGGGGTTTCAGTTTCCCCACTCAGACCCCAGTAAAACCTGAAAATCCCTACTCAGCTGCCAATGCATTCCCAACACTGAGCTGAAGCCAGGCAGGCTCTGGAGAAGACATTTCAAAGCACGCAGCGTCACCTCCCCAGCTGCCTGCTTTACCAGTAGGATCCAGTCCCCTGTGCTTACTCACAGCATGCCTAAAAGTGTTATCTGTGGTCCAGGATGGGGTGTAGGAGCACGAAGAGGAGTGAAGTAAGGCATATTTGGTGGGGAATTCCCTGTGGATGTGTCAGACCGGGACGGTAAGTCCTTCACTGGATTAGGGATGTTTCTTGTACGTGAACTGGTGCCCAAATTTCTCTGGGTTAAGATCTTTTATTATTTTTATCAGCACTCTCCTCCTCCCACACGATCAGTTGACAAGAAAGGTTGCCTCTCCTCGCTCCAGGCAGGCTGCCTGCCTGTCTGCCACACTCCCTCTCCTCCAGCATTGCTCCATGTCAAGGAGCCACCCTAATGTGTAACCTGACATTTTCAAACACGCTGATATTGGCAGCGAGTTACGTGATATGCTAGGCTTTATCCACCCTGCACAGGTCTTCTAGAAAGGCTACTGACTTGGAAGGAGAATGCCCAGCATTCAGCATAACAAAAAGGCCACTCCTGGTGCTGAGCACCTCTGCAAGGACAGAGCTGGACCCAGGACTAACTCTGAATTTGAAATGTGAACTCTGCGAACTTCAGGTGTGAACAGCCATGGCAAGGCTCAGAGGTAAGAAAACCACAGGGCAAAATGCATCTCTGTTGCTTTCCCCTGTGAGTTCGAATCCAAGTGAGGGACAGCAAGAGGAGCTCCTTCCTACATGCAAGCTCTCAGCTGCATGCTAACCCCCACTGGTGCAGGGAGTCGCAGAAACCAGGGACAGAAAGGGAGCTTCTGCTCTGTCCATCTGCTTGCTTCAAGGCAGGACAGTTCAGTCTGCAATCTGAGACTGAAATTTTTATACCCTGCTTTCAGAACTGCCTTTGTAGACCCTGCAGCCACTGTTGCACTTTATTCCAGGGCTTCATTAGCCTTAGCGCTAGGAAGATTTTTCCTAATGTCTTGCTGTAGTCAAAAACCTTGACATTTTGTCCTATATGCCCTGGGTATGGAGAACAAATTATACCCATCCTCCTTGTGTTACTTGTATTGTCCCTCCAGCCCTTTACTACTTCATGATGTTATCGCATTGCTCCTTCATTCTCCTTGGCTCAGAGCCTCAGGCTCTCTCCGTTCTGCTCATCGAGACCTCCTCCATCCTCTTCTCATACCTGCAGGCAAATGCCAAGCTTGCTACCTCAGCAGAGAATGGCACAGGCCCACACTTTGGGGGCAGGGACTGAAGTGCAGTTGCATGATGGATTGCCTTAAATAATAGAGCTGGCTTAGAAATTTCCCCTTTCCATTGTCTCTGCCGTGCTGCAGCTCATCCCTTTCCTCACTTGTGATTATCAATTAGTCTGCAGGCTGTGTTCCAGCACAGCCTGGACAAATATACCTTAAAAAAGACGCGTGGAGAGTTGTTGTTAACTGGGATATTTTCAGAGACCTACTGAGAACATTTGAAGCTGGTTTCACCTCCCAAGCAGCTTACCAAACTACCCTTTAACAAGTATTTTGCAAATGTAGTTACTGAATCACGGAGTTTGGAAGCATCCATGGAGACTGCTTGTCCAACCCCCCTGCTCAAGCCAGGCTCAACTACAGCAGGCTGCCCAGGAGCTCTCCAGTTGGGCTTTGAGGATCTCCAAGGATGGAGATTCTGCAACCTCTCCGGACAACCCCTTCCTGTGTTCAGTCACCCTTACAGCAGAAATCACTGAGAAGACTGTGGCCTCATCCCCTTTATCCCTACCCATCAAGTGTTTGCATAGATTGGCTAATCAGGTCCACACGGAAGAACCTGCTCTTTTCTTGCCTCCACACTTCCTTTTCCCACTAATCCGTGCTTCAGTGGGTGAAGCAGATTCCAGGTTTCGGGAGCTGCCGGGGTGAAACATGCAGCTAACAACCCTGGGGGAGCCCAAGTGTTTGGTGGCTCCTGCTCTGGTTGAGCCTACATGACCAAGGCTGTGGTGCTAACGCTTACTGTACTTCGCAGTGACAGAGGAACACGGATGCAGCACCACAGACGTCAAAGCCAGCATCAGAAGACGAGGGTGAAGCAGCGCTCTACCGATCTTCTGTATTACAATCTTGACAGTCATTAAAAAAGGCAAAAATAAGCCACCATCACGTCCATGAGCCTGCAGGGTGATAAATGCATAAAAGACCGTGCGTGAGGAATCTCATGATATCTGCCTGAATCTGCAGACAGCCTGAGAAGCACAAACAGCCTCCACTTATCTCAACATAAGATAACTCAGGACCACAGATCTGGAAGGGGTAGGAATGGGTAAGGCTGCCTGGTATCCTTCCCGAAACACAGGGCTTCTCACCCAGCCTCCACACCGCCACCCCAGCTTTTCCAGGGAAGGAGGACGTGGTAGCATGGAGACAGAGATAAGGAAACTGCTCCTCCCTGCACCCTCAATGCCTCCGTGGTGTGCCAAGATCCCAAATTGCACTAATTTGACCTTGCCAGACTTGTCAAGGAAACAATTACCTGGGTCTTTGCCCTTGGGCCTTTACATTTACTCCAACCCTTCCAAGATGTATGCACTTGTGTGGCTCCTGCACACCCCGACATGATAGGAATGAGTTACAGGCAAAGAAGAAAGGCTGGGACATGCAAATTCTTGGGAGGTTTGCTGGAGAGCAGAAGACAATCCCAGACCTTTTTTCTGCATCAGGTGAAAACTGTTACAAACCATGGAAACTCGTAGCCTTCCCCCTCATCTGGGAGTCTGCTTCTTCCCTGCAATATTTATGTTTTCCTACATTTCCCCTCAGTAATGATCTAATCAAGCAGAATTCTTTTGGTATTAATCAGAAGAGCAGGGAGACACTTCTGTGGTTACTATTATCAATTGGGGATGTCAGGAAGACTTTGACAGGATTACCCTTGGAATTTGCCATTTATTAACCAGGCTGTGAGCTAACATGGCAGGGCTGGGGTGCGGCTGCTTTTGCTTTGCACATGGGAGATGGCTTGTTTGAGGGTGGGGAAGCTGAGGGTGGTGGAGCTCTGTCTCCATCTGATTCAGAGATCTCAAACAGCTGCCCTGGCAGCCCTGAGATATCTCTCCCCATCTGTACGTCTTTCTTTGCTTTCATCATCTCTTCCCATTATTGGGAAACCGTCACAAATCAGGCTGCACGCGGAGCTCGGAGAGCTTGCACCACCAAGAGTAGGCTTGCGGTCCTGACCCAGGGAGGATGGGAGTGACACCCTGCTCACAGGGTATGCTGCTACGGGAGGCCAGAGATAAGTGCTCCAAGCCCTCAGGCCAGAGCTCCAGGAAAGAGAAACTGGGTTTAGAGGCATTAGACTTGCAGAAGCAGCTGGGATGCAAAGTAGGCACACGCGAAAATCTAGCCAAGTCAGGAAACAAAACGAAAAATTGCTTCTCTCTCCTTGAAATGTAGGGCTGCTGTTCACCCAGCACAGACAGAAGGTTAAACGTGGTAGGTAAGGGACAAATCCAATCAAACATAAAAAGGGAAACACAGGTCAAAATACAGCTGCAATATGCCCACACCCCTCCAAAAAAGCAGGTTTTGCTCCCATATTCCAGTGGCACCAGACATTGTTTACTGTGCTTCACACTACTAGATGGCCCTGGCCCACGGCTCTGACCCTGCAGGGCAATTTTTGTGCTGTTTCAAACCCCCAAATCACAAAGGCATTGACTGAGAGCTTTCAGCAGCTCCCAAAGTTTGTGCACCACAGTACCTGTCACTGCATCCACATATCCCACAGCACGCATTTGTCATGAGTGACTCAGTGGAGTAATGGGACACACTGGGTCCTTGCAGAGTGTTCAGACACTCTGGAAAAGAAGCATTGCTCTTCTAGGCCTGAACATTGAATATTGAAAGGCAAAAATGTTGGCATTCATCTCTAAATCCTGTCCTGCCTGGTCAGCTAAAGAAAGAATTAATGCTAGAATCTAAAATGCTGCAGGAACAAAAGCAGATCCAATCCATAGTTTCCTCTGCTTCGATACACACAGAGAACTTATTTATATAACTCCAGCCACTTCAAACATTGCACTGATGCATAGATAGGGCCTTGAAATCTCAGTAGAATTTGTAAAACGGAGTTCCTAGATCATAAACCAAGGTCTTGCATCAGCCCTTTACCATTTATTCAGCAGGAATAGAATGAACTGAAAATTCAACTGCTAGTCCATAATTTCTCATGTTGCGTATGGAAAAACCCATCAACTCATGTCTCAAAATCCAGGTGTGAAATTCCTTCTTCCCAATTTGTTCCAGCAATTGCTCAGACGAGGGAACATCCCAGAAGAGGTACTTCTTCACTAGGTACTTTCACAAGCCTGGCTTCCAAACCCAAATTCCCTATGTCGTCTTCCCAACGCCGCCTTCTTCACCTTAAGCAGAGCACTTAGTCCTTGGTTTAGAGAGAGGGCTATGGGTTCTCCTTGAGGCAGCTGGCTTCGTCAGAGATGTCCACCCAAAAGATAACTGAAAAGCCAAAAAAACGTCAACATAAAATAGAGACTCAACCTAACAAAACTGCTGCTGATATTTGGGAGCACAAACCACATGCCTCTTGCCTGAACAATTTCCAAACCATAAATGGTGTTTAATGTGGAAAAAGTCATAAATGTACAAAAGTTACTTCTAAAACCAAAAACACAGAGTTTTTTACTTATGGCTTTGATGAATGAAGTGTTTTCTATTCTGGCGTCACGCTTGGCGCTCTGAAGAACCTTTCTGCTAGGTGGAAATTACCGGCACTGCGTGTCAGTGTGACCACTGGCTTTGCAGCAGACTGGAGAGCGCCCTTCCAGGTCCTAACATGGGCTACTTGTGTTGACTACTCAGCAAAATGGAGTACGTTCTCCTTCCATCAAAGGTATATTGCAAGAAAGAGTTGTGAAACAATACTAAAAGGACTTAAAATGGTGCTGTCCGTTACGTTCTTCCGTGCTCTCCATTCGGAATTGTCTTTCAGCTACACGTTCTTTACTGTCTGTGCAACCCAGCAAGAGATAATGCATGAATAAATCACACATCAATCACAAGCAGCTCTCATAAAGCAAAGCGGATTAAGTTATTTCTAAAGGACACAGGAGTAAAAGAAAGGATGCTCTGCTGTCCTCTCCATTGCTGTTGATCTGCAGACATTTCCAAGTACGTTTCCAAAACTATAGTTAAAATTAAGTTTTTAAAGTAAACAGCTTGCACCGGGTGCCAAGATTGCTTTAAGGCCAAAACAGACAACACTGCTTGTCTGGCACACGCGTCACTTTCCAAGCAGGAAATCCAACAAAGCTATAACACAACAGACATCATTTGATAGTCTCAACTCAGACGCCCACTTGGCACTGGCAGTAACCAGTCTTCCATCAACAGGATCCAAAAATGATGCTTGCCTAACTTGTTATCATGCAAAACATTAATGGGAGTATCTTCCTCTTTTGAAGTCCATTGGAACTGGAAATGTGGGCTGAAAATGCCTGGTACACAACCACGCAGAACAGCTGAGAACCAGCCTTCCAGGAGAGCAGCGCGCAGAGGAGCAGCAGCAAGCAGAGCTTCGCAGCCGTCTGTGCTGTGAGTCACATCTACACACGGTGCTGGGAAAACCTTACGGGAGGTCCAGCCACTGGGAATACAGGGAAGCAAAGCTAATAAATACTTGATATATTTGTTTGAGTAGCTGGAAGAGGTCAACGAGCCTGGAGCTGCCCTGTCAGCTCTCTGAAGGCAACTAGTGGCCAGTCAGCAGGCCGCAGGTTTGAGCACTGCTATCGAAGCCCTTTTCTTTTTTTCTCACTGCCATTTATTTTGCACATTATGTAATCCCAAACTTTGTCTTTTCAAAGGATCTTTTCCTCTTTATGCATCAGCATGAGGCATGGGGTCACATCTTGACCTGAGGTGAAAGAGATCTATATTAACACCTTCACTTACCAACAGCAGTGACTTCAAAAAGCTGAGAGGGGTAGTATAAAAGCTGCTACAAGACTGCACGTATTGCTGCTCATAAACATATATATGAACCCCAACACCAGATTCTCAAGACGAACAGCCTTGCTATCAACACCTGAAGATTCATAGTTTTCCTAGGCAAACAGGGGCTGTTGAAAGAAACACACAGCTGAAAAGGATACATCAGCACCACCACCATTTGTTTAAGCATATTCCTCTGTGACATCCTAAAGCCTTGCCCCTACTCAGAGAAAAAGCATGCTACCTACCACTGGATCTTTTCGAGCAGGTCCTGATAGCTGTTTTCATCATTTCTAATAGCCAGTGACTCAGTTTTCCTTTCTTCCTCTTGCACCTCACTCGCTGCATTAAACTGGCTGTCAGTGGCTCAAGGCCAAGTCTGGCCCTTTCTGACAACTCGCTTCAGTTTTGCTGTTCAAGCACTGCTCCTGGGACAGGTGCCCAATAAGTGCTTTAGAAACCAGTGTTTACTATTACTGATCGGAAGAATTTCTGGAAAAATACTGTAACATCCATGACTTCTTTTTTTTTTAATCGCTGTTATTACAGACGTGCAGTTTTGGCATGCCAGCATTTTCAATTCACCTCTCCTAGGGCCCAGCACGCTCCAGGTTGCCATTCTCTGCACTCGCACAATGGAGTGTGCATTGCCTTGGGTCTAGTCCTGCCCACATCCACGGCAGTGTTATTCCTGGGACAATCACATTGGGAAAGAGTTAGTAACGTGCTCCTTAAAGCCAAGTGGTGAGAACTGAAGTATTTCAGAGGAAATGTGTTCCTTAACATACCCACTGTAGCATAGATGGTCTCTCCTTATGGCTGGAACTGGGAACCCCACATCCTTTGTGTCTCAGCAGACACCTAAATCCTGAACAGGCAACAGAGCTGACTGAGTGCCCTACCGGCTCATGAAGCTCTCTCACTCTTTTTCACTGTCAGTTTATTTCACTATTGACTTGTAACAAGCTTTCTCCCCAGCCTAAACAACTCGTACATCCTATCAGTGACTGCTGCAGGTAGGGCAGGGTCCATACACATGGTGAGGTGTCAAACACCAGAAGCAGCAGGAATTAGCTCAAGCTCCACGTGAACGATGTGGCGTTCTTCATCAGTGACAGTTTTGTTTTACTCTCTTGCTCATTA